TGGGGTATCTCCTGACAAAATTGCTCTTGCAAAGTCACCAGTGTGGCTTCCTAATGGCCAAAGTCAATAGTATCTTTTGAGAGTTTGTACTATTTAATTTTTCTATAGCAGTTAAACATTTTCTTTCTTTTTTCTATAGCAATTAAACATTTTCTTTCTCCCTCCCTCCCTCCCTCCCTCCCTTCCTTCCTTCCTTTTCTTTTGGTTCTAGGGACAGGATATAGGGGCACTCTACCACTGAGTTAAATCCTCAGCTTTTTTTATTTTTTCGTTTTGAGACAGGGTTTACACCAAATTGCTTAGGACCTTGCTAAGTTGCTGAGACCAGCCTTGAACTTGTGATCCTCCTCTCAGCCTCCTGAGTCACCGGGATTACAAGCATGTGCTACTGCACCTGACTATGAAAACATTTCTTCTTCTTGTCTTTCCATTCCTCTACAGTCTTCTTAACAGAAGTTCCCACCCTCCCCACAAACAAAACCCTCTTCTGAGTTGTGTTTTGTTTTTTGGTCCTTTTCTCTTCTCCTTGAATTACCTCCTTCATGGTCTTCTGCCACACCTAGGCCCCAGTGACCTCAACATCTGTATCTCTAGATCCATATTTCTAACTGACGACTCCTATCTTTGCCTGGATGCCCTGCAGGCATCTCAAACCTAGAATGATCAAAACTTATCTTTCATTCCACCTCCTCCAAAAGTCCTTCTCCTCCTTCATTCTCTATCTCAGGGAGTGGTACCACTCTCCACCCAGGAACCAGAGCCAAAAACCTGGGTGTCATCTTCAACCTCTCCCCCTCCAAGTTCAGTGGACCATAAAGATCTCTTAATTCTACTTAAGAAATATTTCTGCCGTGCAAACTCTTCTCTCTAAGCTCCCAATCACAGTTTTGGGAAAGTCTCATCAATATTGTTATCAGCATAACTTGGCAGTTTTCCCACACACCAAGCTCTCCCATTTTCAATTCTTTCTTCAGAATAGAGAACATTATTAGCCTTTGGGATGTCACTGTTGAGAAAAGTTTGAAAATGGTTTCAGAACTGACATAATTTTTTTTTTTTTTTGGCCAGGGCACAGAAACTAACGTTATCTACTCTCATTGTCATTTCATAATGATAATATAAAAAGACTGTTTACTTAAAAGGTAGAAAGTACCGTACTCTCAGAATAGAATACAGGATCCAATAGGATGGGAACCATAGGTCTAGAATCTAGATTGCTAGCAGAGCAATTGTTTATAGAGCAAAATGACTATATTGCTGTCCATCTTGACAATTGTATTATGTAAATATGTTAATTTATCCACATAGTTTACAGGCATCTCATTTTACTGGTTTTTAATGTCTATATAGTATTCATCATGTTGAAATGCTATAGATGTCTTCTTGTGATCTTTTATTAGGAATTTGAGATTTTTTTCCAATATCAAAACTTAAGTGTTCTTTGCTATGTATCACCTATAAGCCTTATAATAAAAGTCATATTATTTAGGATCCTTTACAATCTGGAAACTTGGTTTATTCCTCAGCGAGTACTTTGTCCTAAATATATCACATTCTTTATGCCAGTAGTTCTCAACTGGGGTCAATTCCCTCCCTCCCAAAAGACATTTGACAATGTTCATGTTCTAGACTGAATTGTGTCTCCCTCCCCAAATTCATCTGTTCCAGCCCTAACCTCCAATGTAGCTATATTTAAAGACAGGAGAGGTAATTGAGATTAAATGAAGTCTTAAGAATGAAGTCTTTATGATTGATATTACCATTCATTCAGTTTTACCTTCACAAACCTAAGTGGCCTCCAAGATATTTCCCTGTTCTTCAACCCCCTTATACAATTATTCACCAAGTTCTGCCCCTTTTAATCTCCCAAGTGTTATTAAATATATTCATTTCTCATCATATCCACCATCACTCTGGCCCTAGCCTCTATCATCTCTTGCCTGACTACACTCAATTGTCACTGCAGCCTTGATGATCTTTTCCATATCTGATTATGCTTACTACAAATATTAGCAGGTTAACAGCCACCTCATCCATTAAAATTATTTAAGGGATTTCCTTTGCTCTTAGGCAAAGGACAAAGCCCTAAGTATCATTTGAAAGGACATGTAAGCACTCCTCTTACCATTTTCTTTCCTCCAAAACCTGTACTTACCTTTCCAGTCTCAAGGTTCAAAAAAGTTGATGTGAACCATGCAGAGACACAAAGTAATAATTAAATGACACTCTAATATTAGAATCCATGTGTTCTTTTAAAAATGCAATGAAGCTCTCCTCCCTTTCCCTTTCCCAGGAATGTCCTCTTCAAGCCTTTCTCTTCCTTGTCTACTTATCCTTCAGATCTCAGCCTAATTGCTACGTAGGGAAGCTGTACTGGACAATTCTATCTAGGCAAATCCCCTTATTAATGTGGTGTAATATCACTAGTTGCAAATATCTCATTATTAGCATAATCAGTTGGTTAATATCTATTTTTCTTAGTTGGCTTCCTGATGACAAGAATTCTGTTTTTGTCTCTCTGTATTTTCAGATCCAGGCACATATTAGACATTAAATGGATGGATTAAAGAATGAGTGATATCCATTAAAGAGAATGAAACTATGGCATTTTCTGGTAAATAGATGGAAATGGAGAAAATCTTGCTATGTGAAATTAGCGAAACTCAGAAACTCAAAGGTCGAATGTTCTCTCTCATATGCAGAAGCTAGAGTACAATGAGAAAAGGGAGAGGGATGGATAAGATTACATAAAGAATCAATTAAATACAAATTAATAGACGAGAGAAAGGAATTAGTAGAGTACAGAAGGAGAAGGGAAGGGGAAGACTAAAGGAAAAAGGGGAAGGGAAAACGGGATAATCATGAACTGAAATTGATTTTCATACATGTACGAGTTTGCTGTTATTGGTATCAGAGATTGAACCCAGGGGTGCTTTAACACTGAGTCACATTCCCAGTCCTTTTAAATATTTTATTTAGAGACAGGGTCTCACTGAATTGCTTAGGGCCTCGCTAAATTGTTGAGGCTTGGTTTGAATAGCAATCCTTCTGCCTCAGCCTCTCGAGCTGGTGGGATTATGGTGGGCCTGTGTCACCATGCCCAAATTGAGTGAGTGAAGGTATCAGCCAGGCAAAGAACAGCCCAGCTGGAAGAAACAGCATGTGTGAAATGCTCCAAGGTCAGACAGAACTTTGTGAACTGTAGCTAAGAAAGGGAATGGAGAGTCTAGAGATATAGGTAAGGGCCAGATCATACTAGGCATTTTAAAGGATTGTGGGTAAATGGAGGTTACATCTACTTTTTTTAAACAACATTGCCAAAACCTTTTATTGGTGATATTACAAAACCAAGTAACTTAAAGTACCAATGAACAATATGCTGTGTGTCTATTTTCTTATGGTTACACTACAAACTAATTTTCCTCTGTTCAAAAGCATAAATAAATATTTAAGCTATGAAATCATATACTGACACATTAGATTCATTCTACAGGATAATCCTCCACACCAATACCAGGATTACAGGTTGTTTTTTTTTTTTTTAATACTAAGATGTGGGACTTGCAATATTATTACAAACCAGTTTCCTCGTAACTGGTTGATAAATCTACTTTTTTGATACTGTGTTTAGTTCATAGTTTTCTATTGTCACTTTTATATATATCAACCATAGGAAGGAATTTAAAATGTAAGTAGGGATATATTTCAGTTGAAAAATAAATATTTGTAAAGGTATAATAGTTTTTAGTAGAATTGGCTAGGTGTTGAACTTTTAAGACATGATAATGCTTTATTTTTATTTTTTATTTTTGGTGCTGGGGATTGAACCCAGAGCCTACAGCATTCTAAGCATGCACTCTACCACTGAGCTACACCCTACCCATCTGATATTGCACTTCAGGGGCTATGATCAGAGCCTGAGTAAGGTTTAATATAAAACTACTAGCAAGAAGGCCCCTACAGACATTTTGATGCCAACGAAGCTTGGTCCCTATATGTTCTTGGGTCCTATATATATGGAGATACTCAAACACATATGACATATATACCTTTATATCATTTTCCATGACACACCCATATAGGATAAGTATACATATGCACACATATGTATACACACACATACACACACATTCCCCATACCTTTAACTTTGTTGCTCAATTTAAGTTTTTGTAAACTTCTATGTGTGTCCTATATATGGAACATGGAAACATAATCGGTTAAAACTGATTAAAACCCCTAAATTCTGTCGGGGAACAAAGACCCATATTTGGTAGAAATTGAGGAATTGGCTCAGGCAGCCAATCACAATCTACTAAGGCCACATACTAAATCTCAAACTGCAAGGCTCTCATAATAAGATTAGAGAAAGAATAGGCAAAATTCAATTGCATTCTGGCTAATAGTCTTAAGACCAAAAACAAGGGGGACTAGAAATAAAGACAGTGGCGTATGCATCAATGGGAAGGGCTGTGTATCCTCGTCTGTCAGAACCTGCAATTCTTGTCATGGACTGGAAAATAAGAAAAGCGTGAGGGGCTCCCATCTTGAATCATCCAAGGTTTACAGTACACGAAACACGGAATTCCAGATTCCAACATGACGTGCCTAGAGAGCTGTGACTAACGACGCAGTCCTTGAGTCACACACACAAAAAGGGATGTGTTCAATCAAACGCATTTTTTTAAGCCATGCTCGCTGCTTCCCTTAAGATTTATAAATCAAGACTATTAAAATTTTCGGTTCCAGCCAACACGCCCCTACTCCTGCAGGTCGCCCTCTCTACACAGCAGGCACGGGCTTCTCCAGCTCACACTGGTCCCCCTTCAAGCTGACGGTACGCGGGCAGATTTGTACCGGGAATGCCCGAGGCTTCGGACCAGTCAGGTGTCAGTCAGACCCTAGCCCACACCAGATAGGCACAGAAGCCAGCACGCGGGCCGCAGAGAGCCCGACGCCGCAGTCCAGTCCTCCGCCGTCCCAGCATTCCCCGCGGCCCTACCATCGAGAGCAGCTTCCGGCGTCGCTGGTGTAGGTGGGTGAAGAAGGAGCGGGCCCTCGCCGCTCTGTCTCGCTCCCTCGCGCTCTCTCGAGCAACATGGCGGGCGTAGAGGAGGCAGCGGCCTCCGGGAGCCACCTGAATGGCGACTTGGATCCAGACGACAGGGAGGAGGGAGCTGCCTCTACGGCGGAAGAAGCAGCCAAGAAAAAAAGACGAAAGAAGAAGAAGAGTAAAGGGGCTACCGCAGGTAAGGGGAATCTTGTTTTCCCAGTCCCTGCCAGGAATGGCCGAACGACTTGACTTAGGCTCGGCGGGGGTGGCAGGGACCAGGGACCCGGAGCCCTAGACTGGATTGATTCCCAGGCCTGAGAGAGGGGCAAGGCCGGGCTCCAGATTCCCAGGCTGGGGAGAGGCGGCTTCTCCCGCTTTGGGAGGCAAAGATGAGGTAGAAGAATGCCTCAGCTTCGCATGCGGTAGCCCTGGGATCGCGGGGCCGGCCCCCCCACCCCCATTTTTTTTTTTAACCGGGGCTCAGCTCCCACGCAGACCATGGCGCGGACATGAAACCAGCCACACAACACGGCTCTACCAAATTCTGCGTGGTTTGGGGCCCTCCTCAAAAATCTCCCTGCTGCCTCTTTGCTGGAACTACCGGAGACGTATGGATGTCGGTGGGCAAGAGTATTGCCCGACCCGATGGCCCCCCACCATCCGGGTTTACATCGGGGTTGTTGTTGCAGGTTGCGCATTTGGGGTGTGTATATATGTCTGTATGCCCACACACTCGTGTCAGCGAGAATTTCTGGTTGTGGTGGTGCGAATTTTCACCTGCCTTATTCCACAGCATCGTCCAGCATTAGGGCCTTTAGGCCCGAATTATGATGCCACTTTCAGGCAAATGCAGAAGGGATCTTCTTTGGCTCTGAATGGAACGTCTCAAGCAATAACCTCCAAATCTACTGGTGAAGCAAGGAAAACAACTGAAAGTACACAGTTGGATCGTTTTATTAGCTAGGAATTCAAGTGTTTTGAGAAGTCACCGTTTTTGTTCACCAACTTCATTTTAGCAAAAAAACTGTTTTTAGCTGTTTTTAATGAAAATCAGAGATACGAAACAGAAATGGAGAGGTCAGAGTGAAAACAAGGGTGCACAGGATGAATCGACGTCTTTCTGAAATTTTGATTAGATGGGAAGAGGGAGAGTTGTAGATTTGCTGGGTCTCTTCCAGAGCAAAATTTAATCCTAGGACGTACTCTGGTGGCTGTTTTGGCTTTCAGATGAAATCCAAACTCCTCAGTTTGTCCTTGAAGGTATTCAGCAGAATAATCCTAATATATTTTTAACAGTTGTATCTCTTAATATAAATCCTTTTCAGTAATCAGAATGTCACTTTATTAAGTGCTACCTGGTTTTACTCTTTCTCAATGTATTACTTATACAGCTAGATTGTAATTACTTGCAGAGCATGGGCTTCATCTTGTGCTTAGATGTTCAAAAATTTGTATTTTCGCAATGGACTATCCTTTTTTGTTTATTTCGATTGATTGATTTTCAAACCCAGTTCATTATGACAGCTGCTTTCTTGAGAGTTAGGGGTGTTCTGTCTGAATCCTTCTTAAGGCCTTCAGCACTATTGCCTGTAATAGATACTTAATTACTAGATAGGTACTTGCTAGTAATTAAAGAATTTGATGAGTGTGTTGAATACTTTTAAAAGTTAAAGTACAATAAGGATAGGGACCTTGAAGGTATTCTTATTTATCTTTACTGCTAGTATGTGTAGGGGATATTTTGTTGAATGAATTAATGAATGGATGGTACTACTTAGGTATGGAAGATTTTTTTTTCCTGCTATTTAACAAATTATATTCAAAATAATGTTTCTGTTTTTTGTTTCTGAGCACTTATCAAAAAAGCAATTGCAAGCTGTCCAGGATCATTAGAACATATTCTAGTGGGAAAGTATCCTTATTACATTTGGTTCATGCTATTTTATTTGATCAGCAGGGCAACAGGAACCTGATAAAGAATCAGGAACCTCAGTGGATGAGGTAGCAAGACAGTTGGAAAAACAAGCATTGGAAGAGAAAGAAAGAGATGATGATGATGAAGGTAAATGGTTAATTTGATCTTTGTGATTATAAATAGAAAATGTGAGGCTATCTGACATTTCACTTGCCAAAGCTTCAGTTAATGTTGCAGATAAAGGAAGAGGCATTTATTAGCAACTCCTTAAAAAGTTGTGTATGTTGACTAGCTGCTCAGGTAGCACAGATCTTAGTTTTTCAAAAATATACTTGAGGGGCTGGGTTTTAGCTCAGTGGTAGATCACTCGCCTTGCACGTGTGAGTCACTGGTTTCGATTCTCAACATCACATAAAAATTAAAAAAAAAATAAAGGCATTGTGTCCATTTACAATAAAAAAAGCTTTTTTAAAAAATGTACTTGGCAGAAGGCCAGGTAGAGGGTATTAATACAATAAAATTGAGAGGCTGTTTATTTGATATTTATTTAACAACTACTATATTCTAGACCTTATGCTGGAATACTTTCACTTACTTTAACCTCACAAATCGAGCAAAGTAGGTGCTACCATTTTACAGAGAAGTGGTAGTTATATGATTTGCCTCATGACACAGCTAGTATATATAACAGAGCCAGAATTTGAAACTTAGCACCTTATCTTCATGCCTTTTATTCTCTATACCAGTGCTGCCTCTCTTCGTTCTTAAAGGAGCATATTGGAGTGCTTCTAAACTCTTTTGAATTCCTGGATCCTAGTTCTTTATGGGTATTTGAATGTTATAAAATTTCTTTTGGGGGCAGCCTTCAGCGTCTACGGCCATACCACCCTGAACGCGCCTGATCTCGGAAGCTAAAATTTCTTTTGGGGCTGGGGTTGTGGCTTAGTGGTAGAGCGCTTGCCTAGCATGCATGAGGCACTGGGTTCAATCCTCAGCACCACATAAATGTAAAATAAAGATATTGTGTACACCTAAAACTAAAAAATAAATATTTAAATAAAATTTCTTTTAAGAAAGCTACTAGAATGCTAGTATTTGATGTAACTGTAAGACAGGAGGGAGAGAAGATTAAGTCAGAAGTCTATAATTATTCTGTAGCCTGTTTTGGTACAGGAGGAAATAGGGATTTCCTATTTTTTGAATTTTTATTTATTTACTACCAGCATTGTCAGCCTGGGGCTAATACCTTTTAGCCAGTGGAGGCTGTACCAAATTATTTTGTTTGGGTAATCTAGAGTAGTTTTTTTTTTTAGAAAGATATGTTCTTTGCCTTCAGGAAGCTTAAGTCACACCAGGTGTAGTGTGGTGGTGCACACCTGTAATGCCAGTTACTCAGGAACCTCGGGCAAGAGAATTGCAAGTTTGAGGCCAGCCTAGGCAATTTAGCAATGTTGTCTCAAAATTAAAAGAAAAAAAGAGAAAAATTAAGAAAGGTCTGTGGGTGTAGCTTTGTGGTACAATGTTTGTTTAGTGTGCCCCAGGGCTTGGGTTCAAGTCACAGCAGCATTTTTTTAAAAAAGCTATAGTAGGGCTGGGGATGTGGCTCAAGCGGTAGCGCGCTCGCCTGACATGTGTGCGGCCCGGGTTCGATCCTCAGCACCACATACCAACAAAGATGTTGTGTACGCCGAGAACTAAACAATAAAAAACATTGAAGATTCTCTCTCTCTCTCTCTCTCTCCTCTCTCACTCTCTTTAAAAAAAAAAAAAAAAAGCTATAGTAAACATAAGTGGAAAAGAGGTGGCTAGATTAAAGAAATCATTAGCTTTTCCTTTTCCTTAAGCAAACATCTTCTCCATTCTACTTTGGCTTATGCTTCAGATTATGAACATATTTTGAACTTTGAACAAGAAAGGAGTTTGTAAATTCAAGGTAATATAATAGGTTGTTATAGATCCACTATGTAAAGAATATCATAGTGCTAATTTTGATGTTTGCTTTGTTCTGTTTTTACCTTTACAAAGTTCACTGAATTTCTTGACATGGAAAATGTTTTATGTGATAAATTAGAAACCTTCAGTGTGTTAAAGACAATTTTAGGAATATTGACAGTTTTCACCAATTTGAGCTGATTATTTTCCTAATTTGTTTTGATAATAAGGATCAATTAAGTACTACTTATCTGTTATGAGTGCTCTTTGAGCGATGGAAAGCTATATTTTAGAATTTTTCTCCTAGAAGAAAACTGTTGGTGTATTGGAAATACCAAGTGAAAAGATATCCAAAGTGAAAAGATATTCTGGTGTATACACTACAATTCAATGAAATTTGGAGATGGAATTGTAAGCTGAATGCTAAAAGAATACTCATTGGAGGGAGTAAGACTTGATTAAAACCAAGTAGAAGAGACCATTTGAGAAGGGATAATGCTGAGAAAGTTTTCAGAGTATAATAAACAGCGCAAACTGGCTATAAAAGAGGATTCAATGAGGGAGCCTTTGAGCATTTTTAACCGTGTTATGACAAAATAATTAGACTTTATATTTGTGCATGATTATTTACAGGAGAGTATGTATATGTTAAAAGCAAGTAGATCGTTTTTAAGGCCACTTAGCAAAAGGCCAGGCATGTGGTGATGGAAGATTTAAACAAATAGTCAAATAGAAATGGAGAGGAAGTATCCAATAACAGTAATGGAGACTGTTGATGTGACAGAACATTAATGCTCTTGCCTGTAATATGAAGTCAGCAGAGAGCTGGTTAGATTTAGGGGAGGGACTTTGTAGGCAAAGAACAAGATATTGAATTTAATTTTAGGTATGTTGAACATGAGATTGTTGGTATCAATGTAATAATTGATCCTATAGGCATCTGGCAACATGCCAGAGGTAAATCATTCAGTAAATTTAAGTCCGGCTAATTAATTTGCCTAAAATAGTATTTTCCCCTTGTAAGTGTACACTTTGGGGAGTTTTGATATTGAATTGTTTACCATTGCCAAAAACAAAGGTACAGACCATTTCCATAAAAATATCTCCACCAAAAAATTTCCTTTGTCCCTTTGTATCAAGTTCTGTTGCTCCATGCTCTTATCCTTGGCCACCTCTAATGTTTTTCTGTCCTTGTAGTTTTTGCCTTTCCTAGATTATCATATAAATATAATTATTCAGTATGCAGCTTGTTTGTTGGATTGTTTCACTTAATAATAGTTTTGACAGTTATTTAGATGTTGCATTCATTTTTAGGAATTAGTACATTGTTTTTTATTGCTGAGTAATATTCCATATTCATTTATCCATTTACCATTTATAGGATATTTGGGTTTCCAGCTTTTATCTGTTATGAACAGTTGCAAAAAGGCCCTTGTGTAAACATATGTTTTCATTTCTCCTGGGTAAATACCTACAAATGAGGTTTCTGAAACTGTCAAACTTTACCAAAGTGGCTGTACCATTTTGCATTCCTCTCAGCAATGATTGAGAGTTCCAGGTTCGTATTCTCATAAGCACTTAACTATTGTCAGTTTTTAAATTACAGCCTTTCTGATAGGTGTGGTTGATGGTACGTCATTATGGTTTCATGTTTTTATTTGTCTTTCATATTAATATCTTTTTATTTATTTATTTTGTGATACTGGGAATTGAACCCAGGGACACTTTACCACTAAGCTACATCCTCAGCCCTTTTAATTGTTTGTTTTGAGATGGGGGGGTCTCACTAAGTTGCTTAAGGCCACACTAAATTGCTGAGTCTGGCCTTGAACTTG